TACTGCCAACAGAAACTAGTATAAGGCCATTACATGGTGGGTATCAGCGTGTGGGTGTGTTTAGGGACGCGTCACCTTCTATGACCGACTTGTATGCGCATGCGCACAAGGCGAACAACAGACACGATTAAAAAGGTAGCCAACCATCAGGAAATGGCAGCAAGAACCATGTAGAAGGCTGTGTAGAGGCCTGCCCGTGGAGTTCCGATGCTCCTAGAATATAATGGCGTTCCACTATGACTTAAATTTGCCAGGCTGTAAAGGGGTCCAGCACAATGTCTTTGAAAAATGAGAATACGAGGACAGAATGAAGGAAGGTGCAAACATCACAGCAAGGATGCCGCAGCGGCGAGCTCGTTGCCAGGTAGGCCGGAGTGTCCTGGTACCCAACAAAAACACCAACTGGAGGTGGGACACTGGCATCAGGATCTCGGCAAGGACCGTCGGAACAAATATAAGAGCGAAATAACTCAGAAACAGGGAGGGGGTGATGATGTTAAGCCCTCAAGAGTGTGAAATTTACACAGTGGATTTTGTCCGCGGAAAATTAAAATCCATTCTCCAGCGTCCATCGTGACAGACGGTTTATAGCCCCCCTGTAGCAGGCGATGCTCCGGGAACTGTAATAAATAGCAATATCGTCTACATACGACCACGTAGTTATAGATGGCCTTAGTGCTTTTACCATTCAGTTGACGGCGATTGCAAAAAAAAGGTTCCCACTTAAAACTGATCCCTGTGGAACTCATTATTCTTTGGGACATCGCGCAGATAACACATTCCCAAGTCGGACGCGAAAAAACGGCTCTGGGGGGAACATTAGGGTAGAAACACTGGCAGTCATCCTAAGAGTCCCAGCGGTGAAGGGTTCTGAGAATACCACACCACCAGGTTACGTGGTTACGTCATATGCCGCCTCCAGGTAGAATAAGATAGACACTAGGTACTGGATCTATGGCGTCGAAATCCAGACGAAGCATTGGAGAGAATGTTTCGACTCCCCAGGATCCAGACGAGACGACGGTACCACGCACAGACAACTACTTGCCACACGGAGCGGTCTTTGGCTGGTTTAAGGACGGAAATGAAGGTACCTTCTCTCCAGGCATCTGGTATCGATCTCTCTCCACATTCGGTTGACCACTGCAAAAGAAACTTCTTGCCTGCGGGTGGAAGGTGAGAGCTCATTTCGTTATGGAAAACGCTGTAACTCAGCCAGCGATCCTCCAACACTAAATGTAATGTTATAAGGTTCGGTGACACTCACGGCCTTAGCATCTAGCGTTTAAACGGTACCAAATTCTCAAATGCAGGACGAGGTCAAAAATGTCTCAAGAGTTCACTTGAAGGCCACACCCCACAGGATATTATTAGCATTAAAATCGCCAAGAACGAACGGTGATCGTAATTGTGATATCAAAAGTGCCAGTTCGTCTGAAGATACTGGCACTGCTGGCTTTTAACAGTAGAAATCTCTACGGTGGTCTAGCTGTTAGAACGCTGGCCTTGTAATCCTGGGGTCTCGGGTTCGAATTTATAACTTGTGTTGGGCAAGGCCGTGGTCTCGGCAACACGGAGTTTTCCTCCGTGGCATCTCAACAATTACTCCATTCACACACAGAAGAAGGCAATTGCAAACCACTTCTGGATCATCTGCCAAGAACGTGTATGAACAGGTCCCAGTCCGAGAAAAGGATGGAAGGATCCTGTTCATATGGACCTGTCGTCAGACAGAACACTAAATAATAATAAGATGAGGTGGTCTAGGCAACACGGAGTTTTCGTCCGTGGCATCCCAACAATTACTCCCTTCACACACAGAAGAAGGCAATGGCAACCCACTTCTGGATCATCTGCCAAGAACGTATATGAACAGGTCCCAGTCCGAGAAAAGGATGGAAGGATCCTGTTCATATGGACCTGTCGTCAGACAGAACACTAAATAAAAAAATAAAATAATAGTAACTTTACATACTGTAGTTACTTTATTTTTAACTGGAGATTATGAGTGTTTGGCTGTTCTGTAGAACGTCCGGAGCTCTGTCTGTATGCACATTCGTGGAAATTCCATCGTACACGCAGCAAACGCGTAGAAGTGAATCGCTCAGTACAGTGAAGTCAACAGCAGGGCATCAGGAATGACTGTCGACTGGCCCGCCGAATCCAAGCACCGGACCGACTCGTCACTTGCTTTCCTATCCTTTTAGGCGTGACGTCAGCGCCCGCTGACGTGAGACCGGTTTTAAGAGTGCGGGGGAACACACCTTTTGTTCATCCTCCGAGGGTCGACCCATGGTTTTCTGGTGGCCTGTGACTGCTGATTCACTGAACCGTGAAGTGTGCTATGAGCGTTTGACCATCGTTTGAAGTTTATAAAATGTAGGTCTACAGAAATAAATAAATGGATATCAGAAAAATACGGTGCGATAATGAACTGGCCCAGGATTGAGCCGAAAGCCCAGTTTTTAAGACGGCGATGGGCCTTCGGATTCCGTAAAAACGGAATTCCTAGGCCTGAATACTTGTATGATGAATGCGGATAAAGGTACAATAGAGCCGTTAGTTGTCAGGTTGAAGGAGATTTATCACATTAAGTGTAACATGTTGCCTTGTGTAGTCTGCATGTGAAACTTGTTATTTAACCCTGGTGGAGAGAGTTTTGAGAGAAACACAGTGTAAAGTGGGTTGGTTAAACCATTTCACTGATCGGCGTTCTTTAACAAAGGCTTCGGTGGCGTTCATTTTACCTCTTGGTGGATGGTAGCTTCAGTTTTATAGTGTATAAGACTAATCTGTTGTTTGGGTCACAACTGGAGTTAGTAGTTCAAATTTTAGATACAGTCAATACTCGGAGATTTGAACGCTGGAAGAGGACAATGCAATAACATTTTCACAAAATGAATCTGGTTGATATATATATTCAATGGAGAGGATAGATGATGTACTTAATAGAAACAGAGCAGGTTGGCACGAGGGCAACGCGTTTGATTTTTACACTAATGGTATCGGATTCGAATCTTGCCCGGAGCACAGACTATTCTGAGTAGAGGGTTTCTGAGTCTTCGTGTCTTCTTGGCTTGCTTATACTGTAATGTCTCCAAGTCATATTACGCTCACCGTGTTGGGATACGAATGGGCATTTCACTTCTTGTAATTTTATCAGATTTTGTATGGTGCTGATAGTTTATTCTTTTTGAAGGAAGATCGGCAGTTTAAATAGGCCGCTTAGAGAACAAAATTTTTATTGAGAAGTCGGGTCATGTAGTATCGGTTGTTGCATTCCGGCACGCCTGCTTGCAGCATCTTGTCCGGCTGGGTAGCTTCTTC